GAGACGCAAAACAGTGTTGTGGCAGTGTTTGGAATGTTTTTTGTTGGCGAAATAGCGCAAAAACAGCCAATATGCTGTCTAAAACGTAAGTCTCTTGATAGTAACTTATTCTTTATTGAACTGTTGTATAACATCAATATCACATTTGTAACCATGCTGATTTTTAAAGAAAAAACGGCCAATCACAATGCACTAGATCGCTGGCCAATCAGAGCACACCTCGCTTTTTCAGACCGATGAGCTTTGTAAAAATCGACGCGTTTCAAAAAGGCGGGGCATAGAGGAGAAACAATAATGTACAGTATGTGGAAAATAATGTGTTTTTTTTACTTTAAACCGCATAAACACATTTCATTACACCAAATACACAAAATAATGTTCTTTTTAGCAGCATCATATGACCCCTTTAATTTCAAACCCTGGTCACAATGTTTAATTGTTTTTTTTTTTGTTGGTTTTTTGTGATCATGATGCATGATGTACACTGTCTAACAATACACAATGAAAAAATTAAATCATTATATTCATTTTAAATTGTTTGTAAATATTTTATTTTAGTTAAAAATCTTTATAGCTGATACATTTTCTCAATTCAGCATTTCAGTCTTTAGCAGGGGTGGCAAAAGTTTTCATTTTGGTCTCTATATAGGCTACCTATTGATTTTTCTTTATTCTTTTTAAGTGCAGTTTAAACACTCACATCAGCAAAACAAGATATAAGGGATTTGATAATCCAGAATGTGTTTGTTTGTATTGTGTGTGTTGTATGTTTTCCTTTCTTACAGTCATAGAATAAGTATACAGTAAATGAAAAGGTCATTGCACACAGAGTCCGAAATTTTCGCACGTTAAAAATAAATACGACCTCCGAAACTTTCGTCCGTCATAAAAAAATTCGGATCAGCTTCGATTTTCTGCGTTTTTCGCATCCGTAGCAAGCATTTTGATAGGAAAAAAAATTCGGACTCAGTTTGCAAGGACCTTTACATTTGTCAGAATCCCTATATAAATCTTTACATTTAATACAAAGCTGTTTTATTTTCTTGTCTACTTACTACTTGTCACGCCTCATACAACTAAACCTAAATTCGTTTTTTTAGAGCTTTTTAAACATCTTGAAATTTGAGGTGAACAGGGTCAGTAATGAAAGAGCATCTCACAATAGTGGCCCACAGAGCAGTAGCACAGGCAAAGACTGTATATCTGTCATTAAACAATGAGGGCTGCTTGTTCCAGCCGGTGGTGGAAGCACATCTGCACAGCCCTGCACCATCACTGCTCCACAGTCACAGACGCATTTACCACTGTCAATGCTGCTGTCACTGTCGCCTACCATCAAATGAGAAGCAGCGTTGTTTGTACTGATCTTTAAATGTCTAAAATGTGATATAGACCTACAAAATTCTTTGAGATGGTTACAATTGAGACATCTTACATCTTACCCAGATGCAACTATATAGCATTTTTATAGTATTGACATTAACATCATGATTGTCATCTGACAAACTTAAAATCATTTTAGTGAATTAAAAAGAATCACTCCAACTTTATTTCTACACGTTCTAAAGAAAACATGAGAAATAAAGTTGCCCATGCAAAAGTGAATTGGCATCACAATGCATGGAGTTCATCTGAGTGGGGTTTTAGCACATTATGTGGTTGCTAAAGGTGTTGGATTTTTTTTTAACGTGTTGCTATGTGGTTTCTAAAGTGGTCTGAGTGGTTTTTAACACAACATTGTGCAGACACAAGGTGTTCTTTTTAGCACGCCACTGTGCAGTTGCTGCTGTGTTCACGGTGGTTTTTAGTACACAGATATGTTGTAGCAAAGGTACTCTGAGCGATTTGTGGCACACATTGGTATGATTGCTAATCTAAGGTGTTCTAGGTGGTTTTTAGCAAGTCCTAGTGTGGTTGCTACAGTTAGGTCCATATATATTTGGACACGGGCACAATTTTTATTAGTTTAGCTGCTGACCAAAACATATTTAAGTTACAGTTATATAATGAATATGGGCTTAAAGTGTACACTCTGAGCTTTAATTTGATGGTATTCTCATCAAAATTGGAGGAAGGGTTAAGGAATTACAGCTCTTTAATATGTACCTCCCCCTTTTTCAACGGACCATATGTAATTGGACAATTGACTCAAAAGCTGTTTCATGAACAGGCTTGGGCAATTCTTTAGTTATTTCTACATCAATTAAGGTAAAAATTCTGGAGTTGATTCTAATAAGTGTTTCATTTTGCATTTGGAAGCTATTGTTGTGAACCCACATCATGCGGTCAAAGGAGCGCTCCATGCAGGTGAAAAAGACAATTGTTAGGCTTCAAAAACAAAACAAATCCATCAGAGAGATAGCAGGAATATTAGGAGTGGCCAAATCAACAGTCTGGTACATTCTGAGAAAAAAAGAACGCACTGGTGAGCTCCGCAACATAAAAAGGCCTGGAAGTCCACGGAGGGCAACAGTGGTGAATGATCGGAGAATCCTCTCCATGGTAAAGAAAAACCCTTTCACAACATCCAGCCAAAGACCACTCTCCAGGAGGTAGGTGTGTCGCTGTCAAAGTCTACAATCAAGAGAAAACTTCACCAGAGCAAATGCAGAGGGTTCACCACAAGGTGCAAACAAGGCCAGATTAGACTTTGCCAAAAAAAACTTCTAAAAAGCCAGACCACTTCTGGAAAAGCATTCTTTGGACGGCTGAAATTAAGATCAGCCTGTGAAACATGGTGGAGCAGTGTGATGGCACGAGCATGCATGGTGTCCAGTGGCACTGGGTTACTGGTGTTTATTGATGACGTGACAGAAGCAGTCGAATGAATTCTGAAGTGTACAAGGATATACTCTCTGCAAAGATTAAGTCAAATGCAGCAAAGTTGATTGGGCGGCGCGTCATAGTACAAATGGACGATGACCCAAAACATACAGCAAAAGCAACACAGGAGTTTTTGAAGGTAAAAAAGTGCAATATTCTGCAATGGCCAAGTCAATCTCCTGATCTCAACCTGATTGAGCATGCATTTCACTTGCTGAAGACAAAACTAAAGGCAGAAAGACCCACAAACAAACAACAACTGA